ACCAATGCAAAACAGCTGAGTTTCACAAGGGCCTTGTGCAGATGAGAAGTCCCTGTGACCTCACTGCCCACCTTCTCTCGCCTCTCAGCTTCGTTTCTGAAGTTTCCTGGACCTCCCCGCTGCCTGTTCCCAGGCGAAGGGAAAAGGAGCTGGTATTTGGGGCTGGGTAAGCAACACTGCAGTGCTCTGCATCTTCCTACGGATGTCTCACAGGCTCACCCTCACGCAGAGAACAAGCGCAGAGAAGGGGAGGGAAAGGGAGGGAGGGAGAAGCAGGGGAGCTGCTGAAGAGAAGCGGCCTGCTTTAAGATTCCCAGATGTGGCCTTGAGGGCAGGGTTTCTGGGAAGGAGCTGGGGGTGGCAGTGCTGATTGACATCCTGTGGGAAGGTGGCCCCGCGTTTCCTTGGGATTCCCAGAGATGGCACATGACCCCTGGCAAGATGGGAGGTGTCTATCTACCCTGTTAGGCTGGGCCCTGGGTCTGAAACTCTGCCACCTTTGCCCATTCGCGTGGTACAGCTCTACCCAACCCCGGGGCAGGTGCTGAGCAGCTCTCAGGCAGTGCCGTGGGCTGGGCCAGGGATGGCTGCGAAGACAAACTCACTGCAGCCAGAACCTGGCGTCCAGAAATAGAGATCCTGAGAGGAGTCAAAGCTGAGGGTGTTCCTTAGGTTGGCAGTTTTATTTTGGATGTCCTAAATGTCTTTGGTTTTTCTTCCTTTTTTTTTTTTTTAGGCAGGGTCTCGCTCTGTCACCCAGGCTGGTATGCAGTGGGGCGATCTCAGCTCACTGCAACCTCCGCCTCCCAGGTTCAAGTGATCCTCCTGCCTCAGCCTCCTGAGTAGCTGGGATTGCAGGCGCCCACCACGCCTGGCTAATTTTTGTGTTTGTAGTAGAGACAGGGTTTTACCATGTTGGCCAGGCTGGTCTCAAACTCCTGGCCTCAGATGATCCGCCCACCTCAGCCTCCCAAAATGCTGGGATTACAGATATGAGCCACCACACCCGGCCAGCCTTTGGTTTTTTATGGTTTACTTGGAGTTCTCTTTAATTCTGACATAGAAGTTCGGACGATCCCTCTTTCTTTTTTTTTTTTTTTAGACGGAGTCTCGCTCTGTCGCCCCGGCTGGAGTGCAGTGGCCAGATCTCAGCTCACTGCAAGCTCTGCCTCCTGGGTTCACGCCATTCTCCTGCCTCAGCCTCCCGAGTAGCTGGGACTACAGACGCCTGCCACCTCGCCTGGCTAGTTTTTTTTTTTGTATTTTTTTACTAGAGACGGGGTTTCACCATGTTAGCCAGGGTGGTCTCGATCTCCTGACTTCGTGATCCGCCCGCCTCGGCCTCCCAAAGTGCTGGGATTACAGGCTTGAGCCACCGCGCCCGGCCAACGATCCCGCTTTCATGGATGAAGAAACCAAGGCTTTGTGACTAACTCAACCCTGCAAGGAGGACAAAACTGGCATCAGAGCACCTTGCTCCTGGGTCTGGCAAGAATGCCTCTTGCTTGCTGAGAGGCCCACAGATTGATCTGGCTCAAGAGTGGGAGATGGGAGGTGACCAGGTCTGTGCCAACCTCTCTCTGAGCTCCTCCGGGTCGTGGCAGCTGAGATGCTCCTCCGGGAATGTTCTACCATCCACGAGGTCGGGTAGGCCTGGAAGCTTTTGTTCCATTGAACTCTGCCAGGGAGCTATACTTAGCCACGCGAGTGGAGGCCGGGAGTGGGTTCTCTGAATATACATAGTAACAAGCAGGCTATTTTCAAACACCTAGAGAACCCCCCGATTATTCTGGGCCAAAATGATATTTATAGGATGCTCTGGGCTCTTGGACACGAAGGCAATAACCTTAGCGCCTTTTGGCGTTTGGGATAAGTTTCTTTCAACAGGGAGTGGGGAGAGGGACCCGGTCACCCAGAGGCCCGCTGTCCCTCAACACCTGTTTCTAGGAGGCCAGGCGTCCTCTTTGCTTTTACACTATGAGTCAGAGAACAGCGAGAGGCACGCAGGGCCACTAATTTTCCTTCCTGCACACCCTGGTGTGGGTCCTGTCTGAGGCCTGCCGTGTGCTGTCAGGGGAGACGTCGTCAGGGGACTTTTCCTGCTGTGAGGAGGGTGCAGCCCCCACCTTTCAGAGCTTGGGACACCCTCTTCCTCTTGTCCAGGATCCTCAGGGATTTCCTAGGCTTGCACTCACCCAGACATCACTGGGCCATAACTGAAACACCCGCTTCCAGTGTGCTCAGGTCCTGCAGCCTCCTGTCCATCCTTGCCCCGCCTCCCGCCCGGGAGAAAGACTCTGACAGTACCCCTGGAAGAGGGAGGAGAGTGGATGTGACGAGTGAAGATTTGGGTGGGGAAAGGAAGGCCTGAGTCCTGGGAGGAATAACTTGCCAGGCCCTGAGCCCCCGGAGACTATGAGCAAGGCCGAGACGCCCCCTTCCTGGTGCTCTAGCTGCAGGTGTTGGAGAGGGCCCTAGAAGCCCAGATTTTAAGTGACCACCCCAGGTTAACCTGGGCATAGTCAGGCAGAACAAGGAGGAGAGGCCAGCAGTGAAGGGTGGGGCTGGTAGGCAGTGGCTGGGGGTGTCCTGGTGGGGCTGGCCGCCCTTGCTGCCTCTGACTTGGGCCAGACCTGCCCTAAGTGGAGTGGCTCCTCCATTCTTTACACCCCAGGCCCCCGGCAGGTGCCCTGCCTTTCCTCTGCCCCTCTCTCTGCCAACCCGTTCTCTCCCTCCCAGCCCCTGCCCGCCCAGATATAAATATAAGAGCATTTTCCATGGGCTGAGACAGAAGGGAAAACATTCAGCTTTATTTTCGGCCTGTGAAATTCCTGTCCTTCATTCCCAACAGGTGCAGTAGCCTCATTTAGATATTGGGACCCAGAAATAGAACACAATTTACAATATAGCTTCCTTTAGGGATCTGGATGCTACAAAAAAAAAAAAAAAAAAAAAAGGCCTCCTATGAGATGCCAAGACTGAACAGCTTGACAGAAACCGTGGTTGGAGCTCTTGCCTTTTTCCAGGCCGGTGGAGACCCTCACCCCTGGCAGCCTGACCGTGAAGCAGGAGGCAAGAGCTCCGGGAGACAGTCGGGAGGGAGGGGGCCCTGGAGGACAGGCTTCTAACCCTACTCCTCCTCAAGACCCAGGTGCTGGCCTGTCCCCTGCCTTTGCCCTGATGGGGATGAGGGAGAGGAGATGGGTCAGGAAACAGTCGTGACCATTGGGGAAGGTGACTTGGATGCAACCTTTGAAGGAGATGCTTCTAGTAAACCCCATCGGTTAAGATCAGCTGTCCCCCATGATCCTTTGTGTGTGTTTTTGGTTTTGCACAGGGTCTCGGTCTGTCGTCCAGGCTGAGTGCAGTGGTATGATCTTGGCTCACTGCAGCCTCCACCTCTTGGGCACAAGCAGTCCTCTTGCCTCAGCCTCCTGAATAGCTCAGACTACAGGGGTGCGCCACCACACCCAGCTCATTTTTTTGTATTTTTAGTAGAGACAGAGTTTTGCCATGTTGCCCAGGCTGGTCTCAAACTCCTGGGCTCAAGTGATCCACCTGCCTTGGCCTCCCACAGGGCTGGGATTACAGGTGTGAACCCCCATGCCCTGCCCTCATGATCCTTTGTAGACTGAGGGAAAGAAGAAGAGGGTGAGGCCCCCCTCTCCTCGGCACTGAGTGCAAGGACTCTCAAGGCAACTCTTGGCAAAGCCCTGTGTTCCTATTGGCTGTTTAGGCGGAATGGTGTCCCCCACTTCCATATGTTGAAGTCCTAATTCTCAGGCCCTCGGAATGTGACTATATTTGGAAATAGAGGCTTTGCAGATGTCATGAGTTGAGATGGGGGCCTCCTGGAGCAGGGCAACATGACTGTGTCCTCATAAGAGGAGAGACAGAAACACACACACACCAGGGAGACGCCATGGGAAGCCAAAGCCACCAGAAAGCCTGGAACAGCCCCGCCCTCACAGCCTCCGAAGGAACCAGCCCTGCCGACACCTGCATCTGGGCCTTCCAGCCTCCAGAACTGGGGGAGAATGAAACTGTTGTTTCAGCCACTCAGGCTGGGGGCCTTTGTTATGGCAGCTGAGTGGGTGCCTCCCTCTCTGGGGACGGCCAGTCCCTGTGGGGGAGGCAGTGGTCCTGGTCCAGGAATGTGAGAGAGGCTTTCTCAGCGTCTTCACTCCTCCAGCTCACATGGAGGCTGGTAGCGGCTGCAGCCCGAGCTCTCCTGGGGAGTCTGTTTACTCAAGGTCACCCTTGGTCCAGAGGAGCCCAAGGTCTAGGTCAAGTTTCCTCTGGGATGTCCCCAAGGCTCCTCAAACAGGTGTCGTCAAACCATCTGCCCAAGGGCCCGTTAGCACCTGGCAAGTGTTAGCCAGGCTGATCTGCCGCGGGCTGCCCTGAGTGGGGCTCTAGCTGCCCAGGTTGGGACTGGAGCAGCCAAGTGGCTGAGCAACAAGGTGCTTCGTGTGTGGTCCCTGTGAGCCCTCCTGAATATTCTCATGGACAGACGGATGGACAGGAGGCTCAGCGGGCTCTGGGGAGCAAGGGGAGTCCTTGCCACTCTCCACATGGCTCCATTCCAGGACCAGGACAATGATGCCTTCCTGGCTGGAGCCAGAAGCAGAGCAGCTGACAATGGGCCAACCTTCCTGAGGAACAGGTATCCCCCAGAAACCTCCTCCACTGCCCTCCTGAGGAACAGGTGTCCTCCCAGAAACCTCCTCCACTGTCCTCGTCAGTGAAGGCGTCAGGGACTAGGAGCGGCCTCCTCCCTCCTTCCTGGACGCTGCCTCTGGGGTTGAGCTGACAACGGGCCAACCCTCCTGAGGAACAGGTGTCCCCCCCAGAACCCTCCTCCACTGTCCTTGTCAGCGGGTGTCCCTCCCAGAAACCTCCCTCCACTGTCCTCATCAGCGGGTGTCCCCCCCCAGAAACCTCCCTCCACTGTCCTCATCAGCAGGCCCCCCCCCCCCGAGAAACCTCCCTCCGCTGTCCTCATCAGTGAAGGCATCAGGGACCAGGAGCGGCCTCCTCGCTCCTTCCTGGATGCTGCCCCTGGGGTTGAGCTGGAGAGGTTGAGACATGCTGGGAAGAGGAGGACCAGCCCAGTGGGTGGCCACCCAGCAGCTTGGCAGTGAGAAGAGGCCACATGTAAGAAGGAAATGCCACCATCCCACTGTACGGGGGGAGCAGGACTCCGGGGATGGGGGTGTTGGGTGTAGACAACCATGCCGATTTGGCACAGTGTCTCAGCAGAGCAGGGCAAGGGTCTGGGACTCGACAGATGCCCCAGGTACCATGGGTGGACAGAGGCCCAGACACTCTGCGAGGCAGCAGTGATCACGTCAGACCCTCGCAGCGTGTGAGGGCTGCAGCGGGAGCCCTGAGTCTTCTCTTCTGACCAGGCAGCAGGGAGGACTCACTGCCCCCAGCCGCACAACGCCTGCCCTGGCCTTGGTCTCGGCCCTCTCACCGGCATGAGCTAGAGCTTCTAGGCCGTTCCTCTGTGCCATGGGACAGGCAGCTGGGAGGACTCAATGCCCCCAGCTGCACACCACCTGCCCCTGCCTTGGTGTCGGCCCTCGACCCAGCACAAGCTGGAGCCTCTTGGCCGTTCCTCTGTGCCGTGGGATGCTCTCCCACTTCTGTGCTGGCTTCTGCCCACGACGGCGCCCCTGGTCACCCGATGGCAGCATCCCCACCTCTCAGAAGAGTTTTTCACAGTGGCATGCCCTGACCCAGTCTCCTGCCTACTTGGTGGCTGAAGGCCCCAGGTGATCCCCGAATCCTGCTGTCTCAGGGAGTTTCTCAGAGTCCCACCTCCTCCACAGAACCAGGGGATTGGCCGAGACTCAAAGCTTCGAAGAATGGAACATGCAGGTGTGCAGAGACCATTTATTACCCCATGGCTGTTCTTGCCTGGGAAGTTGAGTGCCCTGAGATCCCAGCCCCTTGAGGCTCTGAGCAGGACAAATCCCAGAGGCACCCCATCTCATCCCAACGCACCCGAACCACCAATTGTGGGCTCCCCCAGTCCTTCCCCATCTTCTGGAGAGTCTGGTGAGGTGGGGAGGGCGCGTGTGTGTACATGTTTGTGCACACGAGCGTAGACGTGTGACACGGGACAACTTGTCCCAGACCCCAAACCAAAGGCTGGCAGGGACCGGCTGAGAGGTAGTTGTGCCTACTGAGGAAGGACCACACGGCCGTGCTCACTGTAAGTCCGAACTGTTCATTTCTGCTGCAAGGGAACGAGGCAGCCTTGCAAGTCATCTGGCGGCACTGCCGGCCCATGCTGGTGGCCACGTCCCCAAGGCTCTGACTTGGAAGGGCAGACCCAGAGACTTGACCACATTGAAATGGAACCATGGCTCTTGTTCTGATGAAAGTCTTCACTGGGAGAGGAGTCTCCTCTGAGTGGGCTCCGTGGGGTGGGAGGCCTGGGTGAGTGTCCTCCGCCCCGGTGGCCCCGCTGGATGTCTTTGGTTCTGACCGGACACAGATATGGAGGATGCACCAAGTATGAAGTCAGGCCCTGCCCTCCCAGACTCCCGGCTCCTCTGGCGGCAGGAGGGACACCAGCTCTCAGGGTGAGGACCATTCCTCCTACCTGCACCGACTGTGCCTCTCAGGGGCCTGGGCAGCAGCCAGACTCCTTGTGCCGCGCCAGGAGGGACATGCGGGAGAAGGTCTTGGCACAGCGCTGGCACTGGTACTTCTTGGTGTCCGAGTGCGTTTGCAGATGGGCCCGAAGGTTGGAGCGGTCGGCAAAGGCCCTGCTGCAGTGTGAGCAGGCATAGGGCTTCTCCCCTGGGGGAGGAAGAAGAGGGCCGGTGACACCATGGAAGGTGGCCTGAAGGCTAAAACACCCACTGTGACCATCAGTGGATACTCCCATCCCTTCCCTACAAATGCTCACAGCCGGAGCACCCAGGGTTGAGCTGTGTGGGGACGGGGTGGCACGCCACACCTGGGCGAGACACACCTGAAGACCCTCTGAGAAGCACAGGCGGCCACAGGCTTTAGATCTCCTAATGTTGCTGCAATAGCCCTCCCGGGGGCCTCGGCCACTGGAAGAGGACGGGGGAAGCACTGGGGGCCTCTGGCAGCTGTTCCTGGCCACTGACAGGCAAGTGGGGGGGTCTGGCCAGCTCCAGCAGAATCCAGAGCAGGGGTAGAGCTGGGGACTTCGAGGAGGCAGCATTTAGGAGCCATCTCCCATCAGGACAACATGGGGTCTGGACAAAGTCCTGTTTGAACCTTGGCCCAACACCTGTAAAGGGAAGGGTGACTGCGAATCGTGTGTCCATTCCTGTAGCCCCATAGAGTCCTGAGAGACCCCAGCCTGCAGCCCCTGAAGGGCCCAGAGCACCTGCATTCCTGCTGGTGGGACACCAGGCATGCTCCTAGCCAGGCCAGCCTCTTGCAGGGCCTCCCCACACCCCTCACTCCCAGGCTGAGGGCACCAAGCCCCAGGGCCCTTTGGCCTGGAAAGGGGGTATGGGGGGTCTCCTCATCAAAGGGTTGAGAAAAACCGGAAAGGATTTCCTGGAGACCTGGAAAAGGCCTTCCCTCTGGCCTGCATCCAGGTGTGACTCAGAACGTCCCAGTCACAAGAGTCATGACTTAGGGGGTAGGGAACCTCCAGTTAGAAAAAGTGTGAACTAGCTGGGCACAGTGGTTCATGCCTATAATCCCAGCACTTTGGGAGGCCAAGGTGAGAAGACAGATTGAGCCCAGAAGTTCAAGATCAGCCTGGGCAACATAGCGAGACCCCTGTTTCTACAAATAATTTAAAAATTGGCTGGGCATGGTGATGGATGTCTATGGTCCCAGCTACTCAGGAGGCTGAGGCATGAGAATCACTTGAACCCAGGCAGTCAAAGCTGCAGTGAGCTGTGATCAAACTACTGCACTCCAGCCTGAGCAATAGAGTGAGACCCTGCCTCAGACCAAAATAAACACAAAAGTGTGAACCTCTGGGCCTGATGTGGAGACTGAAGCTTATTCCTGGAGCCCTTTCTTCCTTTCTGTTTTTATTCTTTGCATGCTGAGGTTGACAGAAAGCCTGGGCAGAGGCTGCTGGCTGGCTCTTGGGAAGAGCAAGCCACTTTTGTACTTTAATGGCATTATTTTTTGATTTTTTTTTTTTTTTTTTGAGACAGAGTCTTGCTCTCGTTCACAGGCTGGAGTGTAGTGGCACCATCTGGCTCCCAATGCAACTCCCACTTCCTTGGGTTCCAAGTGATTCTTCCGCTGCCTCAGTCCTCCCCCCAATAGCTGGGATTACAGGTGTGCACTGCCATGCCCAGCTAATTTTTGTATTTTTAGTAGAGACAGGGTTTCACTATGTTGGCCAGGCTGGTCTCGAACTCATGACCTCAGGTGATCCACCCACCTCAGCCTCTTAAAATGCTGGGATTATAGGTGTGAGCCACCATGCCTGGTCGGTGTTTTGTTTTGTTTTGTTTTGTTTTGAGTTGGGGTCTTGCTCTGTTGCTCAGGCTGGAGTACAGTGGCATGACCACAGCTCACTGCAGCCTCAACCTCCTGGGCTCAAGTGATCCTCCTGCCTCAGCCTTCTAAGTAGCTGGGCCTACCAGCAGGGGCCACCACACTCAGCTAAGTTTCTATTCTTAGTAGAGACTGGGGTCTTGCTGTGTTGGCCAGGCTGGTCCTGAACCCTTGACCTGAAGTGATCCTCCCACCTCAATCTCCCAAAGTGCTGGGATTACAGGCGTGGCTCCTGCACTGGCCCCTACTGACACCTGGACTTTAGACTTTTGGCCTCTAGTCTGTGGTCTGTGGGACTCTGTACAGATAAGTCAGGAGGCAGAAGCTGAATTGTTTATAAAATCACCCCTCTTCCTTTTCTAACTCCCACAGCCCTCCCTCTTCCCCCAGCCCAGACCGTCCTTGCAGACCTTCACCCTGTCCTACCTGTGTGGGTGCGGACGTGGCCCTGCAGCAGCCAGGGCCTGGAGAAGGCCTTTCCGCAGATCTTACAGGTGCAGGGCAGCGTGTGGGTGCGGATGTGCATCTTGAGGGCGCCCAGGCTGGTGTACTCCTTGTCGCAGTACTTGCAGGTGAAGACGCGCCCCGCCTGCAGGTGGCAGTGCAGCTGCCGGTGCCTGGCCAGCCCGGCCAGGGTGTGGTAGGGTTTGTGGCAGTGGAAGCATTGGAAGCCGCCGGGGGCTCGGGGCGTCCGCTCAGCCCCAAGCAGTTTTTCTGGAGCCCTGTGCCCGTCTGGGCCCAGGACTGGGGACCACTGTGTGGGCAGCACCAGCAGTGGGGCCAGGTTGAGGTGGTTCAGGCTGTCTTTGAGGGGTACAATGGGGGCCCAACTGGCCCAAGGGTCGACCCGGCTGACTTCCAAGGCGTCCGGCCCAGAGGCCCCCAGAGCTTCCTTGATCCGTGGAAGGAGGGGCAGGGAGATGCAGGCGATGGCTGAGGAGCCGTCCCAGGGCTGGGGAAGGTCACCGGGCACAGAAGGGGCCTCCTTGTCTTGGGGGAGGAGGGGCACCACCAGCCCCCCACAGGCAGAGCAGGCACCATTGATTTCTAGAGGGGTGGAGGGGAGAGAATATACAGATGAAGACTGAGTCCCCAGCGCTCTGTGTTTCCAGCTCCGATTCATGGGCCCAGTCCCAGCCCATCAGCAGCCTGGCATGGGAGGTGTAGCCGGGAGCCCGCATGCAGACCCAGCTTGCAAGGGAGCTGGCGGTGCTGTGCAGGGAAGTGACAGCATGGCCAGGAGTGGAGTCATCTAGAACAAGAAGGCCCCGCAGTCTAGAGAGTGAATCTCACTTCCTCTTTAAACACAAAGAAACATCTGACAGGACCCTTCGTGTTCAGGAACATGAAACAGGCCTCGTGGCTAAAGGAGGGCCTTTACGCCTCGGCTGGGCGGGTCCCTCTGATGAGTGCCCCCCCACCGCCCCCGCAGAGGGGTACCAGCCTGGGCCGGCATCCTCCAGGCGCCCACGCAGCACCCATAAGTCAGACACTTGGCAGCAAGGAGCTGGCTGAGTGTAAAATCAGCCCCCTCATAACTAATCACCCTCCAGTCACCCGACAGCTACCCCTCGGGCATCTCCTTTTGTGGATAATGAGGCAGTGAGCTCAGAAGCCTCCCTGACCGCTGACCAGTGCCCGCTCTGCTGTGCTCTCAACGCAGCCGAGCCACATGGCTGGGGTGCTCTGGCCCAGGCTTTCAGAATTGCCCCTGGCTGGGCTCCTCCCCAGGATGGTGGTTCCCGAATTTGGGGGCCGGCACACCACACACCACATGGTTGGTCCACTTAAGGGTAGCAGCCCCCAAATAAACAGGTTAGTTTGCAGGCAAGAGTTAAATTCTGTATTTCCCCAAAGCCAAAACCTCCCAACAGCCCTCAATCCCTTTCTTACTCTAGATGTGTTAAAATAGATCTCTGGCTCTGTTTCTACCTCCATGCTGAGGCTTTGGGTAGAGAAAGACAACCCATAGAATAGGAGAAAATATTTGCAAATCAGACTTCTGATCAGGAATAGCATCTAGAACACTAGAACACTAGAACATATAAAGGATGTTAGCAAGTCAACAATAAAAAGACAAATAATACAATTTTAATATGGGCAAGGGATTTTTTTTTTTAAGATGGAGTCTTGCTCTGTCGCTAGGCTGGCGTGCGGTGGCGCGATCTCTGCTCACTGCAACCTCCGCCTCCTGGGTTCAAGAGATTCTCCTGCCTCAGCCTCCTGCATAACTGGGATTATAGGCGCCCCGCCACCACACCCAGCCAATTTTTGTACTTTTAGTAGAGATGGGGTTTCGCCATGTTGGCCAGGCGGGTTTTGAACTCCTGACCTCATGTGATCTGCCCGCCTTGGCCTCCCAAAGTGCTGAGTAGACACGGGTTTTTGCCACATTGGCTAGACTGGTCTCAAACTCCTGGCCTCATGTGATCTGCCCATCTCAGCCTCCCAAAGTGCTGAGATTACAAGCGTGAGCTACTGCACCTGGCCTGGGCAAGGAATTTGAATAACTGTTTCTCCAAAGACAATACACAAATGGCCAATGAACGCATGCAAAGATGCTCAATGCCATTAGCCATCAGGGAAGTACAAATCACAATCACAATGAGACGCTCACACCCAGTAGGATTGACAAAAAGAGACAATAACAAGCACGGTGAGGATGAGAAATAGGGAATTCAAAGGAACATCTCCCATCTGCCACTCTCTCCTGACCTGACCTTCTCCCACCCTCAGTCTTCCTAATTACAGGGTCATCAGGTTTCTGTCCACCCAGAAGTGAGGGCAGTGACAGGATAAGAGGCAGCGTCCAAGAGAGTTCTGGGGAGACAGCACTCGGGGAGCCCCGGCTTTCCCGGCTTTGCTGGGGCCTCTTGGCAGGAGAAAGTCACCATTTCTCGTCTCCATCTCTAAGACATGGCTACCTTTCTGCCTCCAGGTATTGTCACAGAGCCAGGACCCTGTTTTGTGAGCCCAGTGGCTGAGCCCAGAGGCAGGACGGGGCAAGAGACAGTCTCGCCCATCAGGCTGACCATGTGTTTCTGCTGGGATTTTAAATGCTTTCCCAATACTCTCTGGGTTTTGTTTGCTTTTTTATTCATTCTGCAGTCCAGATCCTGGGGAGAAGAGACTGTTTTTTTTTTTTTTCTTTTTGAGATGGAGTCTCACTCTTGTTGCCCAGGCTGGAGTGCAATGGCGCAATCTCAGCTCACTGCAACCTCTGCCTCCTGGGTTCAAACGATTCTCCTGCCTCAGCCTCCTGATAGCTGGGATTACAGGCACCTGCCACCATGCCCAGCTAATTTTTGTATCTTTAGTAGACACGGGTTTTTGCCACATTGGCTAGACTGGTCTCAAACTCCTGGCCTCATGTGATCTGCCCATCTCAGCCTCCCAAAGTGCTGAGATTACAAGCGTGAGCTACTGCACCTGGCCTGGGCAAGGAATTTGAATAACTGTTTCTCCAAAGACAATACACAAATGGCCAATGAACGCATGCAAAGATGCTCAATGCCATTAGCCATCAGGGAAGTACAAATCACAATCACAATGAGACGCTCACACCCAGTAGGATTGACAAAAAGAGACAATAACAAGCACGGTGAGGATGAGAAATAGGGAATTCAAAGGAACATCTCCCATCTGCCACTCTCTCCTGACCTGACCTTCTCCCACCCTCAGTCTTCCTAATTACAGGGTCATCAGGTTTCTGTCCACCCAGAAGTGAGGGCAGTGACAGGATAAGAGGCAGCGTCCAAGAGAGTTCTGGGGAGACAGCACTCGGGGAGCCCCGGCTTTCCCGGCTTTGCTGGGGCCTCTTGGCAGGAGAAAGTCACCATTTCTCGTCTCCATCTCTAAGACATGGCTACCTTTCTGCCTCCAGGTATTGTCACAGAGCCAGGACCCTGTTTGTGAGCCCAGTGGCTGAGCCCAGAGGCAGGACGGGGCAAGAGACAGTCTCGCCCATCAGGCTGACCATGTGTTTCTGCTGGGATTTTAAATGCTTTCCCAATACTCTCTGGGTTTTGTTTGCTTTTTTATTCATTCTGCAGTCCAGATCCTGGGGAGAAGAGACTGTTTTGTTTTGAGACAGAGTCTCACTCTGTCGCCCAGGCTGGAGTGCAGGGGTGTGACCGCGGCTCACTGCAACCTCCATCTCCTGGGTTCAAGTGATTCTCCTACCTCAGCCTCCTGAGTATCTGGGATTACAGGCACCCGCCAGCACACCCAGGTAACTTCTGTATTTTTAGGAGGGACGGGGTTTCGCCATGTTGGCCAGGCGGGTTTTGAACTCCTGACCTCATGTGATCTGCCCGCCTTGGCCTCCCAAAGTGCTGAGATTACAGGCATGAGCCACCACACCCAGTTGAAGAGACTGTTAAGTACCTTGCTGGCTTCAGGGGTTCCCTGGGGAGCCGTAGAAGGAGAGATTGAGGGGACCCAAACCCCAGCACCTCAGGTCTATCCTGGGGTAACATCTTGGCAGAAAGTCGCCAGGGCCCCCTGGCTGTCAGAAAGCCATGTAGGCCGGGCGCGGTGGCTCAAGCCTGTAATCCCGGCACTTTGGGAGGCCGAGACGGGCGAATCACGAGGTCAGGAGATCGAGACCATCCTGGCTAACACGGTGAAACCCCGTCTCTACTAAAAAATACAAAAACTAGCCGGGCGAGGTGGCGGGCGCCTGTAGTCCCAGCTACTCGGGAGGCTGAGGCAGGAGAATGGCGTAAACTCGGGAGGCGGAGCTTGCAGTGAGCTGAGATCCGGCCACTGCACTCCAGCCTGGGCGGCAGAGCCAGACTCCGTCTCAAAAAAAAAAAAAAAAAAAAAGAAAGCCATGCAGCTGGGGCTACAGTGAGGAGGGAAGAGGGGGCGGGAAGCAGAGAGCACTGCGGGCAGCAAGGCTACTCATGACAGTTGGCCGCTGGGCCCAGCACAGCTACCCAGATTTGCACACTCGGATGGACTCTAAACAACATTTTGAAACTTGCAACTATGACCCATGTAAATTCCATTTTCCATCACATCTGTAGTTACATGTGCATCCACATACACATAACTGAAGCCAGTGTCCTTCACCATGAGCCAGGCACTCCAACAGTTTCTGCTCTATTTTATTTTACAAAATTGGTGGTTGTGACTCATGAAACTGATTTCAAAATGCACATTTGAAAAGCACGGTCCTAGCTGGCACCTCCTGGTGGCAGCCTGGGCCTCGGGTGTGGGTCCAGGTGGGATCCCCCCCTACACCCAACTCTGGGTTCTGAGCTGGGATAAAGGCCTCTTGGGGGTGTTGCTGGGGGCCCCTGCCCCAGCAGTGCCCTTCCTGCTCTCCCCCACCGGCCACAGCGCGTGAGTCCTGACCACTGTGTCCACCGGTGCCTCTCAGTGGGTCTTTGTCCCAAGAAGCTGCCAAGCCAGGTGGGAACTGCTCTCACCACCCGTGTGGCAGGCTGTCCTCTGAAGGACACAGTCCTCTTCTCTCGTGTCCCTAAGCCTAGCAGGCAATGGAAATGAACGGACAGCCCAGTTGCTGGGCACCCATCTCCCCAGGCTAGCCAGTGTGTGGAGGATTGTAGCCCTTTAGCCCAGCCTGCCCAGGCAAGCCTACCAGGATGAGCAAGAGGGCTTCTGGGGTGAGGGGAGGTAGGGGAGGGAGGCAGGCTACGGGAGGAGGCTCACCTGAACTGAATGCAGGAGGGGCAGTGCCTTTGCACCAGAAAGAGCCCATTAGTCCTCCTCCTCACCATCTCCTGTGCTCACACCCCCAGTCAGCATGCGCTGGGGGTTCCTCAGCCAGGCCATCCCAGACGGCCCTCCCTCCCACCACCCCACGACCCCTCCCAAATGTGTGTGCCAGGAAGATGACTCCAGGGTCCCTTTAGCTGGGGCTGTAGTGGTGGGGACTACATTTAAGAGGTGAGTTCCAGAGAGACTTCGGGGCTTAGAAAACTTCTCCAAGTGGGGAGAGAACCTCCCCCGCCCTGCCGGAGGCGGGGCTCAGTGCCCTGAAGTGGAGGCACCCGTGGGCCACCTACCTTCCTGCAGCCGCAGCCGCTGCGCAGAGGTACTGGCTCCTTCTCCTCCCACCTGGGACAGGTGTCCCCCCACTCCCCGCTCCCAGGGGCCTCTCTCTGTCTCCCGCCCCGCAGGGTCGAGTCCCGGGAGGGGCTCGGGGATCGGGTAGCCCGTACCTCTCTGCGTCTCCAGCCGCCGGTAGTTGGGGACCCTGTGGCTGGAGTGCGTTTTCACCAGGAAGGAGCGCGGCATGTTCCCCTCCCGGGCGGCAGGCCGGGGCGGGCTGGGGCGGGAGGGGCGAGCCCGGGTCCCGACTGCTGAGTCCGCGGGCGCTTGCGGGCAGCGCCGGGCCCGGGCAGGTGCGGAAGGGGTCAGGCTCATTAGCATAGCGCGCCGCCTCCGCCAACCAGCGCCCGGCGCGAGTGGGGCGGGGCCACGGGGGCGGAGCTGAGGGCGGGGCGGGGCCGCGGGCAACACGCCCAGGACAGGTGCGCGGGCGGGGCGGGGCGGGGCGCGCGTGGCCACCGGTGTCATCCCCACGGGACTTCTCTGGCGCGCGCGCCGCCGAGTCACACACCGACCCCTCGGGCCTGGCCGCCCACTCGCCGTGAATGAAAGGGCAGAGTTCAAAGTTGAGTGGAAACCGAACTGGGCTCCAGTCCCCACAGTGTGGAAGCATCGGCTGAGCCTAGTCCTCGGAAAACCCTTGCTCCGGGGGATGACGCCCTCTCCGTGGCCTCGCCTCCCCATCCCTTCTGCAAACGCACACGGCAGGATTGATGGGCAGAGCCCAGGAAGTCCGAAGCTGACCCCACTGACCAGCCCCAGTGGCGGCCCAGGGTCAGTGCCCTGGAACAGGCCAGGGACCGGTGGCCTGGGGACAGTGGCCCTTTCTGGGTGGACTGCAGTCTCCGAACCCTCCCCCGCTGGAGACAGCCCTTTAGGAGTTTGCCGAGTGCCTCCAGAAAGCTCTTTTTTGGGGGGACAGAGGACTTGGCCTGCGATTCTGGAATTCCCAGGAGGTCAGACATGGTTATGGGAAGTTTAATAAAACTGGCTAATCACATGAATTCTGCAACAGCTGCACGTGTGACCTGGGCAAGCCGTTTCCCTCCTTTGTGGTCCTGTAGAACCCTCCGGGCCATAAAGAGCTGGGAGCCGCTGTGTCCAGTGTCTGGGTCTCTTTCGACATGGACATTTCATAACGTTGGGGGCTAGGTGGGGCCATCTCTGGGCTGGCATGCACACAGGGTGTCCATGGCTGTGCCGCCGGCCTGCCTCCCCAGCAGGGCTCCCACCTCAGAACTGGGTGCCCTTTGCCCTCTGTGGGCCGGGGGTGGGGAAGGTGGTGGGTGGTGAGTCCATGGAAGCTCTGAGGGAGAGACAGCAGGGAGGAGGGCCATGCCACAGCAGCGTCCCACGTCCCACATCCCACATCCAGGATATGAAAATCTGGGATAGTATCAGCCCCGCTTTCCCAATGAAAAAAACCAAGGCTGTGAGGCTGGGCTCGGCAGTTCACGCCTGTAATCCCAGCATTGTGGGAGGCTGAGACGAGAGACTGCTTGAACCCAGGAGTTTGAGACCAGCCTGAAAAACAAGATGAGACCCCGTCTCTACAAAAAAAAAAAATTGTTTTAATTAGCCAGGCGTGGCAACACCCATCTTCAGTCCCAGCTACTCAGGAGGCTGAGGAGGGAGGATCGCTTGTTGCAGTAGCCTCAGGAGGTGGAGGCTGCAGTGGGCTATGATCACCCCACTGCACTCCAGTCTGGACAACAGAGCAAGACCCTGTCTCAAAAAATAAAAAAAAATAAAATAAAATAAAATAAAAAAAGACCAAGGCCATAGGAGGTTAGGATGCAGTGGGATTGGGACCCAACCACATTCCAACTCGTCTGCCACTTGGTAAGGGGGAGTGGAAGGACAGGTGGGGGTGTCCCTGGAAGAAGGTGCCCGCCTCTCCTGCAACCGCGGCCTGGCACCACCCTGCCGGGAGTGTGGATTTCAGAGGACACATGCCTGCCTTCTGCTTATTCACCTGTTCCTCGCCTGGAAAGGTTTCTATTTATAGCCTCCCTTCCTTCTCTCTCCCCCTCGCAGACACAGATAAGGCTTGCAGATACCTGAGCCAAGCCTCCACCCACACCGTCCCTCCCCGCCCACCTACCCATTGTGTGGCCACCCGCCAAGCCCCAACAAGCTTATCCTAATCCCAGCTAGAGCCTCGTGTTATTCAGGGCTGCTGTAGTTCTCCTGTGGAGAATGGCTGATCTCACCCTGGAAACGCCCCAGAGGGCCTGCGAGCACCTTTGGGGTAGGGTCCTAGGGCTGCCACAACCACTTGCCCCCCAGGGACACTCAAGGCGGCTGCAGACTCACTCTTCAGCTGTGACACACAGGGCGGTGTCCAGGCTGGACCCAAGAAGGCCCCACAGAGGGAAACATCAGTGTCCCCTTCCCACATGTGCAGCCTCGGGGTGGGGGTCGGGGGAGGGCGGCCGTCTCCATCCCTTCTGTGTCCACCGTTCCTCAGTGCTGGCAGCTTGGCTCTGGGGGTTAAACTTACGCGCCCCTGCGGTGGGAAACCCACGGCCCACAGCCTGCTAGAGCTGCCCCCTGAACTGCAGCAGGTGATCCAGGTCCTCGCCCCCTTCCCTGGACATCTAGGACATTGGGATGATGACTTGTGCTGGGTCCGGCAGCCTGGCCCCTCCCATCTGCCTCCATCAGACACCCAGGAGCGGTTTTCCAGTGGGGAACCCACCCCAGGAACTGCTGGTCAGGGCAGAAATGGTTACAGTTCCATTTCTATTGACATTTTCATCCTTCCTATGCGTATGTCTTCCTGCTTTTCTGGTTTTACAGTGAATGTAACCACAGTGCCTTGAGATGTGCACACAGGTATCCATCGAGGTAGACATCTCTGTCACCATTGACTGTTATTCTGAGATGGAGTCTCACTCCAACCTCCGCCTCCCAGGTTCAAGCGATTCTCCTGCCTCAGCCTCCCAAGTAGCTGGGATTACAGGTGTGCACCACCACGCCTAGCCTGGGGCTCAATTTTTTGTATTTTTTTTAGGAGGGACGGGGTTTCACCCAGGTTGGTCGGGCTGTCTTGACATCCTGATCTCAGTGTCGGCCCACTCGGCCTCCAAAGTGCTGGGATGGAACAGGGCAGGGGAGCCACTGCTTTGTTTTTTACGGATGGGGCTTTTGACCCAAGCCTTGGCAAACCTGACTCGGAGGTTGCATGGGGTTGGCCCTTGAGCGCTAGACCAGGGGGGGCTCAGCCTGCTCCTGGCACAATGCCCGGCCTGGGGTCAGGGTGCATTGCTTGGGGTTTAGGCAGGGCTTGTTGAACGGTGGAAGGAGGAAAGCCAGGAGCTTTGGGGACAGCGGTGGCCTTTTACAGGCCCTGCCCATGCTCTGGGGACACGTGCCCTGTCTGTTCGAGTGGCCACTCAGGTGAAGGACCCAGGGGGGCCTTGGGTTGTCCTCACGACTCAGAGGAGACGGCCCTCCTGTAGGAAACAGTCGATCAGTATCTCGGAGGGGAGACTGCCGTGAA